GGTCCGGGGAGATCCCACATGCCGCGGAGCTGCTGAGCCCGCGCGCCTGGAGCCCGTGCTCTGCAACAAGAGGGGCCGCTGCAGTGTGAGGCCTGCACACCGCGATGAAGAGTGGCCCCTGTTCTCCACAACTAGGGAAAGCCTGCGTGCAGCAACAAAGACCCAATGTAGCCAAAAATAAATTAAAATAAATTAAAAAAATAAATAAATAAAATAAATGAGCTTATAGTTAGGATTCTATTTTGCAAAAGGACTGTTGCAAAAGGACTAGTGCTAAGTTTTAAAATGGTGGTAAAAAAAGAACTTGCTTGTGTCAGGTACCCAGGCAAGAATGTGTTGGTCAAAGGAATGTCATTTCACGATGGGAAACCCCCAGCCCTGCTCCAGAGTGATCTTATATTTCACTACCTATTTCACAGCTCCACTTTAGGTGGGTACTTTTAGGAGACATGTTAAGACATCAAATGCAACTTTAAAAATTTATGTTTTTTTTGTCCAAAGGCAAAAAGCAGAAATCCTTTCCAAAAACAGAATATACTACAAATTATTCACTTGTTTATAGCCCCACTCACAATGGGTTTCAAGAAAGGCTAGCAAACCCCCTGTGGAAAGAAAAGATCAACTATACACCAAGTTTAATAATGTGACCCTGACTACAGGTATAGCAGTACCTTTCATAAAAGAAAGCGGGGTGGTGGCAGCAGGGGCAGATAGGGAAAGTTCCCTGACTTCATGTGTAGATAACCTGGTTACAAAGCAAGGCTAGCCTTGAAGGGAGAAGAGGAAATCCTCACAGTGGACAATGTGTTGCTTAAAGATGGTTTGCGGAGGAGGGGTTGTTCCCAGGCAGCCTATTTAAATGCCTTAGTGAATGGCAGATCACATACAGAGGGATGTCTCGGGCTGTTTTTCTCTCTCTCTTTATAACAACAAATTTGCAGTTAATCAAGCTCTGGACTTGCTCTGGGAAGCCCAGAATTGGGCCTAAAGATTAAAATAAATGGAAAAACTGTGAAACCATGAAAATACATTAAAAAAAAAAAAAAACTTTTCAGGTGTAATACACAAAAGCAAACAAGTTTATCTTAAAAAATATCAAGTATCACATCCATAGACTATTCCTAATTATAATTACGTCTTAAAGCAACATTTGTCTTTGTTTACAAATACAGCAGCAGGTGATAAAACCTAACATCTCAAACAGATTGCTTACAGTTCATAATACAAACAAATGTGTATGTGTCAAATCACATTTTAGGCAGTTTAACTTAAAATGCATAGACAATTACATACATTAAATTTGTCATTATTAAGTCAATGAAAAAATCACAATATCAAGAAAAAATACAAAAATATCAAGAAAAAAACTGCTTTACAGAACAGGCATAAGAAGTCAAGTTTACTTAATGGCAATAAATCAGGATCTACTAATCAGTGACAGGCAGTGAAAGTGCCTTTATCCAGGGGGAAATTACAGGAAAAACATCCCATTACTTTGCACTCTTGATAGTTGCACTGACAAACACTACAGTCTTGAAAGCATTTTCTTACTTTAAAAAAAGGTATGCCCTACTTTGTTCTTTAAATGCTCAAAGGCTAGTCTGTAAATTCCACCAGCGGCAATACTAAAATATGTTTGTCCAGGTAAACTAACACTGGATGTACTCATCAATTCTGTAATGCCTCCTCCTAGGCTGTAAGGCTCTGAAAGACAGGCATTCTCTTTGTCTCTGTATATCTGGCATCTGGCAAAGCACCTGGATCACTGACATCTGAGTGTCTGCTGAATGAATGCAGTTTTCAGATGCTGTCTATTGCCAGAATCTTGCATGGCCATTTCTTTAATACTGATTATTTTATTGGCAGTTTTTGTTTTACTTGGCAGAATTCTGAAAATAAAAGTGTCTGTCTTCAATACTAAATATTGCTTTATTAAGATAAAATTATAGTCTTCCCTGAAAGCCACCCACCACTTTCTATGCACAGTACAGTGGATCAGTGTGATTCATCTGAGTCAAGCCTTACGCTTTTCAAAAACTTGAACACTTGAAGGTCTGTGCTTAGGTTTAATTTCCAAGGTTTATAAACCAGGCATTTTATAAATCTAGCACTAGATTTTTCAGGGTGAGGAAGGAAGACATTGGCACGAATCTTTTGGAAGTGTAGGCAACTGATTGATATGCAAACTAGGCACAGTATTTTAACTGAAACTCTGAGTAGAGCTATGTTGATACACACAAATAGTTTCAAAAGCTGTACATCTGACTACAACAGGTAGCACTAATAACTGTGAGGTAAAAAAAAGCAGGGGAAAAACTGACTTCTTTCCTAGAAAATATTCTAATATCCCATTGTAGTGGTATGACAGACCAAGGCCCAAAATTCACCCCCTTTCTTCTCTGTCCTTTTATTATTCTCTACTGAAAACAATAAACAGTAAAACTGACAAAGAATGAAGGAGGCCCATGGGTAATTAAAAAAATGTATTGTCTATTCCCAAAAAATCAATATATTACTTTACAGAAAACAGGGCTATGGAGTCACAGCTGTAAACAGCCATCTTCAAAAGCATGAAAAAGTGTCAGGCCAGGTCCAGTTCAGACAACCCAAGGCATTGTAAGCACTCCTTTAAGGAGCCTTCATTCTTGAGGACTGAGTGTGTGAATGAGGACCTAAGGTCTATGATTTTTCATTGTCATTTTTAGGCTCAAAATTTCAAAATCTAAGATTCTAACTTCAGAAACACTATTTCTCAACACATCTCAACTATCTCCATCAAATTTATGTTAAAATTCCTGCTCTGAAAGTCCAAATGGCAGCATATTCCGTACTTCATATTCCTTTAAGACCAAACATACTTTCTAACAAGCAGTCTCTTCCACAAACCAATCTCAGCCTGGCATAACTTGTTTAAAAGCAACATTATTCCCTTGTAAAGACAAAAACCTTCTTACATGCTTTCCTCCATTCCTCCCTTGAAACAACTTCTGCTTTTCTTAACTCCACCCTGAGCCCCCCAAAAAATATACCTTTTGCCCCCAAGTACACACAAGAATTGAGATGCCCCTCCCTCAAGTTGAGAAATGATGCTTGAAAATTAAAAAGAATGTAAAAGCAAATTCTATTCCTTTTGATTTCAATTCTTATATTTAAAAAAAATTTCCCAAAAATCAGTTGGAAAATCCTCATAAAGCCAAGTTTAAAACGGCAGTATCATTCATCTAGGACACACTGGGCAGTATGGGTCACCAGCAGTTGATATACTTATAAGGGGTAATAATTCCAAATCTTGTATTCATGGCCCTTCAAATCCTTTATAAGATTTTCTCTGATAGTAAATGGTCTCCACAATAAGAGATTCCCAAACTTGCTACCTATTCTTCTTGTAGTCAAACGTTATCCTCTCTAGTGTTAAATATTTTATCTAAAGCCAGAGTTGTCAACTTATTCCAAGGTAGGACAACCAAAATAACCAAAAGGAGAGATATCTTTGTTGCCATCTCACTTTGCCTATCATCCCTCCAGAGTTAGCTGACATTATGATATTGATTGATAAGTTAAGCTATGACACCTTCTAAGGCTACTGCCTTATAAACTGAAGGCTACAACAGATTCCAAGAGTGTTGCAGATAGCTGCCACTTGTCCCTGCAAAGAAGTGAAAGAAAGACTGTGCCACTGAAAGGGCTGTCTAACACTCCCCAGTCTGAAAATATCTAAACAAATTAGTTTCAATTCTGAAAGCCTGAATCTATCATCTACTTAAGGGAGGCCTAAATACTGAATGTTCCTCTCAAAGGTGACAATCTTGCTTTCTTAAAAGGAGGTAGCTATCAAACCATTAAATTGGCAGCGTTTGGCATTCTTGACATTTTAACCGTAAGAGAAATAAACTACTAAATATTTTATTTCTAAGCAAAGGTAAGAGCTCCAGCATAAATCTCTCATACACTGGTCAAGATAGTCACAATACATTTTAGGAACCTAATGGATACATTCAAAATTTGACAAACAACATGGTCAGTTCTATCCCAAATCTAAAAATCAGATTTAAAGATAAGGTGCCAAAAAGCTATTCTGGAGGTTACAAACACCACTTATTTTTAAGTAACACAGTCACACTGCTTTAAACTCAATTGCAGAGATCTACACTTTATGATTATTCTCAGTGTTACAGCTAGAGAATAATTTTTGAGGATGGCACTCATTCTTCTACCCATTTACCTGTCTTACCTGTCAACAAATACAGAACTGAACTGTTAGCCATAAGCACGTTACAAACAGATCCAGGGAAACTATGCAAGAGACGATGACATAGCTTAACCAGACTCTGAAAGACGTAACGTGTTTCGATCACACTTGTACAAAGAGAACAGTCATGTCTGTATGACTAAGGTTCTCTAAACGTATCTTCTGTGTTTGTGATAGACCCCTAGAGTGTGCCAGTTTTCTGCATCAGGATGGAATGAAGGGAAGTGCTCCTTCTAAAGAACCGAGGGAGAGGGGGCTACAGGAAAAGTCCTGTATTAGAGTGTTTTGTGGGAATGCAAATTACTTGTTACTATGAAGCAGTTCCTAGGGTCTCTTCTAGTTTGAGGTTCAAGACAAAGGAGAGAAATATTTCCGTCCTTGAGCTCTTTCCAAAGTAATATGGACACATCATAATCTATTCTACAAGTACAAAGAGACCACCAATTCTCTAAGAATATAATTTACATATACATGTTGGCCTGCATTAAAAAGAAAACAGTTTCCATAAAGGGCAGATTTTAGAACTGTATGACCCATATGGCTAAAAATAAATCAGGTGGAACTCAAAATGAAGTAAAGTTTTTACTAAAAGCTCAAGGATAAAAATGAACTCAACATCTGACAATAATTACCAACAGTTTTAAAATGTATATCCAAAAGATAACCTCAGAAGGACCAGGTTTATTTATCCTATAGATAGAGCAGCTCAAGATGTTGAGAGGCATCATTTGTTTAAATTATGACAATGTGATTGTTTTCAAAGTGTGTTTATTTAGGGGAAAAAGTGATAATGTAAGTATTTAGTTTCATAATTTAAACAAATCAAAAATTTGTTTTAAACAAATTGTATCAAAGAGCTATTCAATATACTTAATTACTTTAACTTTCCATAAAAACCGAATAAAAATCACATTTGAACGATTTACTTTTACATTTTTATCTGATTGTTTCCATCAGATGTACTATACATCCAAGCACAAGAGGCAGATATCTTCTGAGAGGTGCAAGAGTTGTTCTTTCATGAATGCCCTCTAAGAATAATGAAACAGCAATTTTTATATATGCATTCAAGTGCATATATATATATGTACTTCAAAAAGCAAAGCGTCATCTCTTCATCCATTGTTAACTTAATGGTAAGACTGCAATAGAAAAAAGAAAAAGTAAACTTCTAGATTTTGTAAATGGAGTTGATTAACTCCTTGCTGTGGCTTAAAATAAATTTATTGCTTAATAAAGCCAAACAGCTAATCATCTCACTTATTCTGGCATACAATTTACAAAAATAATTTTTTAAGACAATATATATAGAGCAAAAAGTTACACTAATGAGAAGTTTTAGGGGCACTTATAGTAAGGTATTTCTCCTTTACAACTGAGGTGGATGTTTGATTAATCTGGTTGGAGATCTGATTAGTACTTTGTTAAGAATAGATTTTTTTCGCCCCTATGGAGCATCTGAGTTGGCTCAGTTCATAGGGAAACAGGGTGCTTTTCTATTTGGTCATACGCCCAAGAAAGGGTCCTCAACTAAGATGTCAACCCCACTCCAGCTTGGCTGACAGTAAAGCACACAGCGTTACATATAATTGGCAATGTAGAGATTGGTATAATCTTGAGATCAGTACTGTTAAGGATCTAACAAAACCTTGGCTGAGAAACACTATGGACAGTTGCATGAAAGATGGGCAACGTTACACATTCACTGCCCTGGATTCTCTAAAAATCTACCTCTGTATCTAGCCAGACTGGCAGAGATTACTTTTAGTGAACTTGTGCTTTGGTGTGATGCTATAAAACAGTACTGAGAAATGTTAAAAAAAAAAAATCCAATGAAACACATCTTTGAGTTTACCTCAAGGATGCTGTTGAGGACACTGCTTACTACATTACAAAGTCTTTGGGGATATTTGGGGAATTTTTCTATTTTTAGTACCAGGAATATTGTTTTCATCCTTTTAAATGCTTTACCTAAGTTTACCTGAAGTTTGAAAGTTACTCTTTTTTAATATACACACACCTTTTTAAAAAAGGTTTAAAAGCTTTCTAATCTTCCATCCGAAACTGGAGACAATCTTTCAGTTGTGCTTATGGGACTATTACTGCATGTTAAATAACAAATTAAACACTCACATGGGGGCCACCGGGCATCGGTGGAGCACCGGAAGGTCCTGAAGGCACTTGAAAAGGGTTGTTGGGACTGGGATAGAGTCCTGGTGTGGGATATGATCCTGCAGGGGCAGGATATGGCGCTGGTGGTCCCCAGGCTCCTGGTGGAACAGTGCCCCATGGAACAGGTGGTGCAGCCCCTGGTGCTTGGGGAGGAGGAGGGGCGGGATATGGCCCTGGAGATGGATATGGCATATTAGGGGTAGGATACTGCCCTCCCATTCCTGGTGCCCAAGGTCCAGAAGACATGGATCCCCATGGACCTAAAGGACCAGCTGCAGCTGGATCTGTGGGCGCACCATAGGGTCTCGGAAGCTCTGGAAAGGGCATATTTGGTGTCGGATATGGCCCTGTGGGGCCAGGGCCTGGCACAGTTGGGGCTGGATAAGGACCACCAGGTGGGGGGCATGATGGTCCAGAAGGAGGAAAGGGTGCAGGGGGTCCTGGAGGTGGTCCGGTGGGAGGCACAGAGGGATACATTCCTGTTGGTGCTGGTCCAAAAGGCACAGTGGAGGGTGTTGCACTTGGTGGGAGTCCAGATGGCACAGAAGGTGGAGCACTTGGGTTATTCCAAGGGTTGGAACCTGGCCAGCCTTGAGGAGGTTGGCCGGGTTTTGTATTGCTCACAGCAGAAGTTTTGGCAGGGGAGTGTTCAGGTAGCGCATCTGCCAACTGGAATACAAAACAGGCGTGTCTTATTGACCTTATTCAGGGACAAGCAATGCCAAACATAATTACAAACCCATAAAGGATAGTAAGCTATAGGGTCAGGGATTCTTCAAAAGCCAAGCTGTTCAGTTTTTTAAAAAACAACTCATTTAATACAAAATTTAGGAGTTACCTCGAATAGCAGCTTTACAATGCAAATTCTTCAGAGAAGCTCAAGTTTTCTAAATACAACTGATTTAACATAGTGTGATCTCGATCCTGGCTTTACCTCAAGCACGTTACATACCCTCTCTGAGCTTCAGTTTCCTCATTTTCAAAACAAGAGTTTAGGGTTAACCTGAGGCCTGAATGAGATAACTCATTTAATGCACTTAACACAGTGCCTGGTATGTAATTCTCAATAAATGTTGGCTATTATTAACACTATCAGGTTAAAAGAGAACAGAAGTAACCCTTAAAAAATTTTTTTACTTAAGGATTCATAAAGAAATAAATACGACAGAATGCATTTTCAAACACAGCTAAGTAAATTAAGGCAAATCATCTATCAAAATCACATGCTAAAAAAACAAAAACAAAAACCAAGAATCACAAAATGCATCTCTTTTACATTAGAAGACTTAGGGCCCACAGTTAGGACCATGTCATTTTTCTAAGAGCCAAAAAACTTACGAAGAGTAAATGCATCAACTTACCGAAAATTCATCAGACATTTTCCTAAAAACAAAACCAAAAAAAAAAAAACAAAACAAAAAAAAAGAAAGAAGGAATATTTCAAAACCAGTGTTTAATTTCTTATATATTCTTTAAAGAACTATGCATACACTATTTTTACTTAAATGGAATCTTAATCATTTATATAATGATTTTCTTTATATAGGAAAAATTTCCATAATAGTTCATACACCTCTGTAAACTTCATCCCTTTTTACTGGCTGCACATCATATAAAATTGATCCATAATTTAGTTTACAGTCTCAAGCTGGTGGCAGTTTAGGTTGTTCACAGTTTGAATTGTTTTAAACAATGACACAGTGAACATCTTTAAACACCTATCTTTTCGAGTCTATCACCAGGAAAAAGTACAGAAGTGAAATACAGAGTCAACAGGTAAAGTCATCTAAGATCCATCCCATGCCAATTTACACTCTACCTTTTTAAAACTCCTCTTCACCACTGGATGTTATTAAATTTATAAATCATTTTCCATTATAACAGGTTAAAAATTGGCATCTTGTTTAAACTTACATTTCTTTAATTAAGTGGAAAGTAGAGCATCATTTAAATTTAATACCACATTTAGACTTCTTTTTCTGTGAATATGCTCATGCCCTTGGACCACTTTTATCAATTTTTATAATTGAAGTATAATTAACTTTCAGTAAAATGCACGGATCAGTGTTCAGGTAAACAAACTCTGACAGTTGCATATGCCCCTGTAACCATCCAAGACAGAACATTTCCTTCACACCATAGGTTTACTCGTGCCACATTCCAATCAATTCCCCTTTACCACTCAGCAATCACTTTCTTAGTTTTCACTTGTTCCTTGATTTCATGTAAATAGAATAACACAGTATGAACTCTATTTTGACTTTGATCATTTTTTTTTTTTTTTTTTGGTACGCGGGCCTCTCACTGTTGCGGCCTCTCCCGTTGCGGAGCACAGCCTCCGGACGCGCAGGCTCAGCGGCCATGGCTCACGGGCTCAGCCGCTCCGCGGCATGTGGGATCTTCCCGGACCGGGGCACGAACCCGTGTCCCCTGCATCGGCAGCCGGACTCTCAACCACTGCGCCACCAGGGAAGCCCCTGACTTTGATCATTTTACTACTTAGTAATACATCTTTTTTTTTAAAATGTTTTGTAAGACATTAAGGAAATTAGATGTCTGTCATATAAGACAAAAAAAATTCACCTATGCTTTCTAATAGTACTTCTATGGTTTAACTTGTTTAAAATCTTTCGGTTCTTTCAAACAACAATTACTGAATAATCTATCTTATTTCAACAGACTTGACAAGCTACCTTATTTATTTATTTATTTTTATTTTTGGCTGCGTCGGGTCTTCGTTGCCGCGCACGGGCTTTTCTCTAGTTGTGGCAAGGGGGAGCTTCCCTTGTTGCGTAGCACAGGCTCCAGAGCGCAGGCTCAGTAGTTGTGGCGCACAGGCTTAGTTGCTCCACAGCATGTGGGATCTTCCCGGACCAGGGCTTGAACCCATTTGACAAGCTACCTTTAACACATTATACAGTTGCTATTGACAACAAACACTGTATATATATACATACACACATATATGTAAATATACCATGGAACAGGCACCATGCTAAGTGCTTTAGGTGTATAATCTCGTTTAATAGATGCAGATTCTATTACCACTCCCAGTGTACAGCTGGAGAAAAGGAAGCTTAGCAAGTTACCCTGTTTAAGGTCAGAGCTAGTGACAAGGAGTAGCCCCTCGTCACCACAGCTAGGGAAAGCCCATGCACAGCAACAAAGACCCAACACAGCCAAAAATAAATAAATAAAATAAATTTACTTATTAAAAAAAAAAAAAATATATATATATATATATATATATATATTTTTTTTTTTTAATAAGTAAATTTATTTTATTTATTTATTTTTGGCTGTGTTGGGTCTTTGTTGCTGTGCATGGGCTTTCCCTAGCTGTGGTGACGAGGGGCTACTCTTCTTGGCGGTGTGTGGGCTTCTCTTGTTGTAGAGCACAGGCTCTAGGCACGCAGGCTCAGTAGTTGTGATGCACGGGCTTGGTTGCTCTGCAGCATGTGGGATTTTCCCAGACCAGGGCTCGAACCTGTGTCCCCTGCATTGGCAGGCAGATGCTTTTTTAAAATAAATTTATTTATTTATTTATTTATTTATGTATTTTTGGCTGCATTGGGTCTTCGTTGCTGTGCGCGGGCTTTTCTCTAGTTGCGGCAAGCGGGGGCTACTCTTCGTTGCGGTGCACTGGCTTCTCATTGTAGTGGCTTCTCTTGTTGTGGAGCACAGGCTCTAGGCGCGCGGGCTTCAGTAGTTGTGGCGCTTGGGCTTAGTTGCTCTGTGGCATGTGGGATTTCACCGGACCAGGGCTCGAACCCGTGTCCCCTGCATTGGCAGGCGGATTCCCAACCACTGCGCCACCACGGAAGTCCCCACTTAGTTTTTAAAAATTAAGACTCCTACACATTTTTTGAGTTAGATTTCTAAATGGTAAACGTTTTCTTGTCGTTGTAAATTGGTTCTTCCATTATATTTTCTAATTGGTTGTTCATATATGGGAAAGCCTTTCAAATTTTAGTGTGTTACTTTTGTAAGCAGTGACATTATTGAATTATTTTATCCTGAAAGTCTCTCAATTGACTCTCTGGAATCTGCAGATAAGGAATTATGCCATTAGCAAAAAATAATTTTACCTTCTCTTTGCAGTATTTACACCTCTTTTCTCTTTTGCCTAAGCTAGGGCTTAAACAACAATGAAATTATTAAATAAGATAGTGTGAGCACAGTAGTCTTCTTCTCAATTCTCCTGGCAATGCTTCTAATGTTTATATATGACTCATTTTTAGTTTTGAGATTTAAAAAAAATTACAGTAAGGAAGTTTCTATCTATGCCTATTTTGCTAGACTTATTTATTCCTATTTTGCTAGTTAAAAATAAAAAATCCAACGCTGAATTTCTTCAGATGATTTTTTTTGGCATCTAATGAGTTGATCTTGCAGTTCTCCTTTGTCCCATCAATACACAATATAGTTACATATATATTGCTTAATATTGAGCCATCCTTGCATTTACAATTTTATTATTTATGATTTGGTTATCATGAGGAATGATAAAGAAAATGAACAGGAAGCCTACTGCTGCAACTGCTATAACCCTGCTCTTAATTCATAATATTAAAAAAACACATCATGAATGTATAGCAAATACAATTACCTAGTCATTCCCATGTTAAGGTTTGTTTTATACTAAAATGTCACATCACACAATAGTAAATTCTTAGGACTAAAGTTTATCCATGCACAAGTTTAAAGTCTACCTAAGACTAACATTCTTTTCAAACAGGGTGAGCCTTTTTGAAACAGAAAATAGTTCTGTATCAAAGTTCACACTAATTCTGGAGCAGAAAACCTAACCAACTAAGCAACTCAGTGAATTTCATGTGGTCTTACAGTTTGGGTTTTCAGAATTACTCATCTCCCTCTTAAGTTTTTGAAAAACTATGGTTAATTAATCATAGCATTATATTAAAGTATCGTATTCCATTAGTTAATAATATCAAACTGATTCACAACTCTGGCTTTCAAAAGTTTAAATTCAAAATCAAATCCTGGAAGATAGAGGAAATAATAAAGCCCTGACCAAAGGGATTAGAAATAAGTCACTTCCTGTTCTACAGAACTGCATAGTAAAGTGACCTGCTCTCCATGCCTAGAATAAACAGTGTTCATATTAATTGGAAACATTCCAATTTATTATTTGGAGAATACTTTCATCATAAAAAGGTTAAAAAATAGAGTTGGACATCACTATTCCAATATGAGAAGAGTTGCAGAATGTAAAAAAAAAAAAAAAAAACACAAAACCCCCTAGGTTTTCTTTTTTTATTTCTTTTTTTTTGGCCATGCTGCGTGGCTTGTGGAATCTTAGCTCCCCCACCAGAGATTGAACCTGGGGCCCCAGCAATGAAAGTGCCACGTCCTAACCAATGGACCGCCAGGGGATTCTCCAAACCCTAGATTTTCTAAAAAACGATTCTCAAACATATGGATTATGCTAATTAAGATGAGGCCAATGCAACCTTGAACTAGGGAAAAAAAACGTGTAAAATCAAGGAAGATTTTAATTTTTCTTTCCAGAATAATCTAAAGCTATCACTTCCAAAACTTTCTGTTAATACTTTATGGCAGTACACATTATGTGAAGAATAATCACTGTATTTTTATTATTTTAAATTTTTGGCTGTGTTGGGTCTTCGTTGCTGCGTGTGGGCTTTCTCTAGTTGTAGCAAGCAGTGGCTACTCTTCATTGGGGTGCACAGGCTTCTCACTGCGGTGGCTTCTCTTTCTGCGGACCATGGGCTCTAGGCACGTGGGCTTTAGTAGTTGTGGCACGAGGGCTCAGTAGTTGTGGCTCGCGAGCTCTAGAGCACAGGCTCAGTAGTTGTGGCGCACGGGTTTAGTTGCTCCGCGGCATGTGGGATCTTCCCAGACCAGGGCTTGAACCCATTTCCCCTGCATTGGCAGGTGGATTCTAAACCACTGCGCCACCAGGGAAGCCCATTGTATTTTCTGAGGAGCAATTTTAAAACAAGAGTACAAAATTTCTTTCAACATGCACTACAAAAGTAAAACATTTCTGTAAGCTTATGGCCTTTAGAGTAAAAATGGTAATTCCATCATGGGGAGGTTTAAAAAAAGTTGAACTCCATAAATTACTAGTGACTATTGGAAAAGGAATATTTCAATAGGCCATCAAATTGTAGTGGAGTCATAAACAGTATGGGACTACACAGTTATGAAACATGGACACCAATCCTTTTATCTGAATCTTTTGATGAAGGCAAACTTTTTAACCAGAGACCATCTTCCCATCAGCAAAACAGTTATAATTCCCAACTACTTCACAGATAAGTAAAATATTTAATTATCTACAGTTATAAACAAATAACATATTTATTAAGAGTCACTAACGGAAATCAGGATTTTTGCATGGTTTTGTTTAGTATGTAGAGAGGATACAGTAGTGGTAATATAGTGTACTGAAAATATAAATTTTGAATGAACATATAGGATAAATTTTAATATTGGCGTTTATCAGATACACTCTAATTTACATTTGGGCAACTCAAGAAATTGGGGATCTGCAAGTTTTTGAACATTTTAAATTACTTAAAAACATGTAATTAAAACAATTTTTTCCCCCACAACCTCATGTCAGTTGTATTTTCTACATTCAGATACTGATTGGAACATAAGTGCCAGGTACTGCGTTGGGCCTTGGGGAAATGAATAGTATTGCGTGGAATAAACGCTTAAGGCGTTCACAGTATGGCGGAGAACTACCATTTAAACAGTACGTTACCTGGGGTAAGCGCAAGGCTCTATGGGAGCACCTCGAAAAGCTCCTAAAGGAATCAGGGAAAGGAGTATCAGACAAGGAGTCCCGAGGAGTGATGCCTTTGCAGTCTGGGAGAACAATGAGGTGAAGAGCTGCGATAGGCCCTAGGGAAAGGAGCAGTTTGTGCAAAAACTGAGAGGGGGACAAGAGATCTGTGGGAAGTGTAAGCCAGCGGTGCCCAACCTTTTCAACAAAAGGGGCCGGTTTCACGAAAAACAAATTTTCCACGGAAAACAAATTTTCCACGGAAGCGGGGGTGGGCAGAGGGGATGGCTCAGGCAGTAATGCGAGCGATGGGGAGCGGCAGATGAAGCTTTGCTCGCTCACCGCAGCTCATCTCCTGCTGTGCGGCCCGGTTCCTAACTGGCCACAGACGCGCGGGTCCGTACGGGTCCGTGGCCTGGCGGTTGGGGACCCCTGGTGTAAGCAGTTCAGATTGGTTAGAATGTAGAAAATGGAGGAATATGAAAGCCTTAGCAGAGAGTCTCTAGACCAAGGTTTGAATGTCTCTGAGTCAGCTCACCTGAATGAACCTGTTACTTCAACTATAAAGAACGGGCCAGTAAGTAACAGGAGAGACTAAATGGGACTGGTAAATCAAGTGCCTATAATAAAAGTGCCCGGAAAACAGACACATTATCTTGTCTTCCTCTGTGTATGGGCATATTGCTTATGGTTAAAAAGAGTGAACGCCAATAGTATGACAGACTACGAAACACTGCACTTCACTGGCTGGCTCTGCACAAGCTGAGCTGTGCAAACCCCAGAGGTGAAAGCAGACAGGAGTAGCATCCACTTCATAGATTTGCTGTGAGACTTACATAATAAACAACTCTCTTGGTCACTGTCTGGCACATAGCGAAAACTCAACAAATGTTAGCTTTTTCAAATTGCTACGATAGGTCCACAAACCTTTATCTACAGTTCTCAGTTCAGAAACCTCTAAAAATGAAAGAAATGCTCCCAGGTTTGGCATAAAACTTACTTGGTGGCAAAACCTGACCTGAGGCTATTTTACAGTTTCCATTAATTCTCCCCTATTCGCTGCACAAATATTACTGTTGGATTAGAGGATGCTGCCCCGACTCTGCTGGTGTGATCTCTCATCTTTGCACCTTATTGTCTTTCTAAAATCTAAAGATAAAATCCAAAGACTTCTGAATTCCAAAACACACTGGTCCCAAGGATTTCGGTTAAGGGGTTGTCTCTGGGTCTCCGTTCCTCCTGGAGATAGGAAAAGGACATTCTAGTACACACAGCTCAAGTTTCTGAGACAAACTAGTTTTGAATAGGAGGTTCAAGACACCAGTAGCAAGAAAAATGTCTGTTCTCCCTGCCCAAAGAACACTCCTGAACAAAGAGCTTCTGAAAGATTTCTGAAGGCTACCTCCCCGGGAAATGAGGCCCATACAACCACCACGTGTACGAGTGTGTATTTCTTTAGAAGCAATGCTATAAATTTTTTTTTTCAGTCAGGTGAGTACGGTTCGATGCTTCAACATTAGAATCCTCATTTATTAAAAGCACTACTCTTGGTTTTCAGAAGAAAACGGTCCAAAGCCACCAAGCGCTCCTAAATCCTACAAAAAGGGAGTATTACATAACAACACTTCTCATCGTTTCTGTCTTGGGTATTCATCTAAGGTATCTGCTAGCAACTCCTCTAGAAAATGACCAAAATGTCACAATGCGAAAAATCTTAAACTAGCGTCACAGACTCCACCAAGAATGTGTTTAGGCCTCCCTCTCCCTTTCATTGGAAATTACTGAGTGGGGGAGGGGGTCAGGGCCAAGGGGCGGGAGGCCGGCAGCCCTAAAGGGCCAAACGAACAAAAGGAGTCCGGGATCAACCGGAGCGAACCGGCCTCCGAGCGGGTCGCGCCCGCCCGGGAAGGGGTGGGGGAGGGGCCAGGCCGCTCCCCGCCCCGCCCCCAGCCAGGCCTGACGTCACGCGCGGAGAAACCCATCGGGCGCGACGTCACCCGCCTCCGACGCCTTCTCCTTGGGGGGCGAGAAAGCCGACATCCCGCAGCTGGGAGGAAGACGACGGGGAGAAACCCTTAGCCCCCGGCCCCCAAAAAGGCGACTCAGGCATCTCCGTTACTGCGCCCGCGCCCCGCTTGGGCGTGCTCCTTTGCTCCCCTCCACGACCCCGCCAGCGCCGAGGCAGCCTCACCCGGCAAGATCCGAACCCGCAGCAAGGTCTAGAAGCGGCGATGGGTCCGAGGGAACTGAGCGCCGAAGAACTGAGCGCAGCCCGACCGACGGCAGCGGAGACGGAGACGGGGGCGGCAGCAGCACCAGCAGCGCGCGGCTCCTCCTGGCGCCGGAACAGGAAGCGCCGAGCTTCGAGCGCGCTGCCCCCGCCCGCGCTCCGCCTCTCCTCTGGTCAGCCGGGCCCGGCCGCGCGCGCCCCCTACAGGGCCAGGGTGGCACTGCGGCCCGCCCGGCCCCGGCGGCGCGGCTGTTCCTTGCGCTCGCTCCCGAGCGGTTGTTTTCTCTCGGTGGGCGGGAGGAAAGAGCCCCGATGTTCCGGAGTTCTGAGCAGTCTGGAGGAAACGCCAGTGGCCGGTGGCGTTCTGGGCAGCCTGGCGGAAATTTTTAACTTGTCTCCTGAAGAGAAGGTTGAAGGCAGGTTCTGGATTCCCTACGCTTGCGGTCTTTAGAGCCAGGCCTCGAAGCTGGCTAGGTGTGAATGCGGCCTAACCCCGGGACACGGATCCGTTGGCCAAAATTGGAGAGAGCTAAAAGCAATACAGGAAGGGGAAGACGTTTGCAAATGGCTTGACAAATCGATATTAACTAAAGGAACGGATGTCTTTGCAGATTTTTTTCTGATCAGTATTTCTTCTCCCACAGTTCAGTTTTGAATAAACCTTTACCTACCTACTCTATGTCAGGCCCAAAAGATGATGGATTGACACATGGCCCCAGCCGTGAGGGAACGTGCTAGCTACTAATGAAGATGTCATAATTATGTGGTGTACAAAATATACATACATATATTTTAATGTAAAAATTAAAAGTATGCAATATTCTTACATTTTACTTGTTTTCATTTGCTGTTAGTGGATCGGTGGGTGGACATTTTATATAAACTTCTTAAACGACTTGTTTGGGTTTACTCCACAGCACACATAATTCTCATTCTGAAAAATGAGCAACAGAGAAACTTCAAATACCTAAGCCTGGGGAAGACATGTTTTTGGTTAGGGGCAGTGGTCTATGGAAAATAATACCACTAGTGTGAACTACCTACCCTGCCCTAATGGGAGGCAGTGAATCAGCAGTGCCTTGTGGCATGGGAAGCAGTGCCATAGGAAGCCTGAAGCCAACAGTAAGTCAGCAAAATAGTGCTATATTTAAGTTTTTGATATTTTGTTCATCATAGGGCTTTTTTTTTTTTGCATTAATTCTGATTTTTAAATGTTGCACAAAAAATTTTCATTACTGAGTTTATGGTCAAAAAAATTTGTGCCCACATTGTCTCATTCTACTCCTGGTCACGTGCATTAGAGTGACCAACAACCTCCAGCTCTTCCCATGTTCCCAGTCAATAACCGAGCATGGCGGGAGTTCTAGAGGTAGGCCATTCCTGTCCCATGTGGGCTCCTACAGGTAGCCTGTTGGGAACTACATCCTCGCCTAGCATTTTTAGAACTACATTGCCCACCCTACCCAATGCTTCCTTCAGTTTCTTTCACAGATGTCAGACATGCAGTTTGGTATGATTTCCCCACCTTCTCCTCTCTCTTCCCCTTTATTCTTTTAGTGTGTGTGTTTATGTGTGTGGAAGCCCAGAGTCTTAACCACTGGACTGCCAGGGAAGTCCCATTCTCATTTATTCTTCATAGGTGTCCATCCCCCTCCAGTAAATCTCTTGCACATTTAATCACATCTTGACATGTTTCTGGAAGACCCAAAATGACACAGAAAACTGAAAGGAAAATGTGTAGTACAGATTTAAAAATTTCTCATATATAAGTTGAATGTGCCAGGTAACATACAGTACAATGTTTTTAAAACTACAAAGCTTTTGGATTTTATATATGAAGTTTTAATTAATAAGAAACGAAAATTTATTCAGATCAATTTATTTGAACTCACATCCAAGAAGAAACATTCAACTTCAGGACTAGAAATAAAAATGGGAACACTCTACTTCTTTTTGGGTAAGGGGTGGATACAAGCCTGATAAGAGTACTAATAGCTTTGTGCAGTTACTACTTAAACTCTGTATATTCAAGTATATATCGAGTGCGTACTTGGTTTATACAGAATTTATCCAATTCCAGCAAAGTCAGCATACTTTAAGTAAATCTCCTTGAGTTTTACACTCAAGTCTGAAAGCTTAGATTTGATTATAACCACGGCAAAAGTGATTATCTTTACTTCCTGCAAATGTAATCAACTTTTTAAATAACTTAGGCAAACATCAATTTCACACAAACCTTATTAAGGGTAGAAGGAAATTGCAACTGTTCATCTAATTGCAGAGTCTAAACCATAAATTCAAATTGTACCATTATCTTTATTGTCAAATCAAGTCAAGAAAGCCTATTACAGGCTAAAAGAAGTGAATGTGAATCTGCAGTGTCCACTAAGGGAATACGCTGAAAACCTATCATCACATTAGTACTTAACAGCTGTACAGAAATTATTTTTAAGTATGCTCCAAGGGTCACCTCTTAAATGAAGAATTAACCTTCAGGAAGTCAAGAGACAAGTATTATTATCTATATTTTATGTGCTAGGAAATGAAAGTAAAGAAAGATTTAGGATTGAGTAATCTATTCAAAATTAAAAAGTAAATAAAAAAGACTGGCTTTATTTGAAACAGGAGTCATGTGCCTTAAATTCCTTTCCATTGGGTTATATCCATTAGTCTACTATTCTATTTAGTCTACATTTCTATTTAGAAGCCAAACCATTTCCAAAAGTTACCTCCATTTTGTCTCCAGTATCTTAATGTGTTAAGAATAGTATAGACAGACTCTTGTAGTATTGCTCATTCTAGTAGACCATTAAAAAAGAAAAACCTCTTGTGCTTTCTGTTCATTCTTTAGAAATAAAAATGGATGTAAAACTGATTATGTAAAACTAAGATTGTAAAGATTTTCTTCCAAAGTAGAAACAATAATCTGCTTGACTTAAAATCTTTTATTCATTTGGGCATTAAATTACCTAACACACAATATATTTTACATTTAAACAGTTTCCCTTGTGTTATCTCCAGGAATGTTATATAATTAAGTCCACTTCCTATGAAATTTGCTCTACCAAAATCAATATATAACCTATTTGACTCTGATTATAGCTAAAAGTGACAAAAAAAGACTTTTAATGAAAACTAAGAGTGTATTTGTAAGAGTTAGGTCTCAAGGCTTTTGTTTCATAGGAAGGAAGCTCTCTATTACATGGATCTATAAAATGATCCAAACTTCAGACAGACAGGAAGCTGATAACTTGATTTATCTTCCTAATGGCTTTGGCTCATGAATAAATGATAATGGTTTGTGTTTTTCTTATAAAAAGAAATGTAATTTGTATAATGATATGAGCCCTATTTGCCACATTTGCTCTACTTTTCTAAAAAGGATTTCTAATTACTTAGACATTCTTTATATTATTTACAATAAGAAGTCAAAACTTTTAACTGAAAGCCATTTTTTTGACCACAGTTTGCCATTAGCTGACATTCAGGAAGGAACACAGGTCTGATCACCAAATCAATAAATCTAGCCACAGACTGACTAAAAGCTTCCTTTAATCTTCTTCCTATTAGGTCTTCCTTTAAATTAAACCATTCCCTCTGTGAATTATTTAAGTGAATGGCATGGTTATAGAAAGATCAGATATGATTCTTCATACAAAAATGCTCAAGGAACCTAAAAAATCCATTCAGCATGTTTCAGGAATTATAGTATGAATCAAGATGCTGTAGCTTAAAAAAGGAGAGGGGGGCTTGGGAGTATTCCTGAAAGCTTCAGAGAGAAATAGAAAAGTAAAGTTTATTTCCTGGTTAGGGCAGGATGATTCCCAAAGCACATTTAAGTGTCTGGTCCAGACTAGCTATTAGTGATCAAGTAGTCCCTTTTCACTGTCAAGGCTTTCCCCTGAGGTAATACCTAAAGTCTTAATTTTAATATTTTATCTTGTTTCTTTTAGCCCCATCCTCTCTCACCAATAAGTGCCACACATTCCACCATGCTGAATGCTTTCTCAACTCTGCAATTTACACTTTTCAAACGCTCACCATGTCCAACTTAGTTACAAAATTTATTGGGTTGGCCAAAAAGTTCGTTCGGATTTTTCCGTATATGAAAAATCCGAACGAACTTTTTGCCCAACCCGATATATTTGTATCTCCCCACATTGTTCCTTTCAAAACTTATACTCATTTACTTACACACAATTTCAGTAATTACATTTTTAATGAATTGTTTCTGAATACCGAATGCTCTTCCAAATGTGTCCACAAGTCACTGAGAAAGGGTTAAACCTTTCTAAATTCCAATCCCTTCACGCTTTGAAAAATTATTACTCTTCTTTTTCCTTCATGGTAAACAATTCCTTTCTCAAATCTTACATTTCTACTTTCCCGATTTCTTTTCTGTAGCAAATACCAAAGGAAAAAATACAAACCGTTTCAGCGTAAATGAATCTCCTTCCTGCTCTCATTTATTAGATCACCTACTTCAAGGCTATATAAATGGCAGTATTTTGAAAATGTTAACAGCTATCAGTACCTTGAAGGTGAAAAAATAAGAAAGCCAGAGAAAATATATCACAAGCAACCAGTTTGAATATACGAAAGGCTATTTAGATCTTGATTTTCATATAAATACTAATTTTTACCATTATAAAAGACAATGTAATATTTTTCTTTATAAAATTACCTTTTAACAGAATATTCACTAGCTAGTCATTCCTTAGGTTTTTCTGTATTGATAAAAAGTTATTTTTAAAAGAAAAATATTTAAAACAATATTGTTTCATAGAAACAGAAAGTCTCAATATCAAATTCTGATAAAAAACTATAATTACGGGTAGAGTCTTACCATACTATTAATTTTCTTTCACCAAAGATGGACATTTAGGAAGTGCTATATTGGTACATAAGATAAGCTTCTCAGTGATCTACAAAAGCGCCACAATAAAGATGAGGTAGTATGAGACTGTCCCACTTTTGTAAAAGGGAAATATCATCTTTAGAAGAGATATTTATCCTGACACTGGTGTTGATATCCCGAGCCTCATCACTGCTCAGAGAGGTGCCATTTTAGTAGCTAAGTCTCACTGGAACCAAGACAATCTTGAGATCACTGAGAAAAAAATATGCTAAAAGACAATGGTAACAGATTTTGTTTAATTTTGTGATAATTGCTAAAAATTTATTGTAAAGCAATTATTTTTAAATGCCACCTTTATGTTATCAGCAGAACTGCAGGAAAGGGAAATGCTACTTCAACATAAAAGCAATGATACTTAAGAAACATCTATTCTAACATGGAAAAAGCTGAGTCCAATTTCTTTCAATCCAGGTAGAAGCAGCTTCCTACTAGACCTAAACTAGCATCAAGAAATCAGTTACTATGATATTCAAAATGCCAACCTGTACAAAGGGGTAGACAACTCACCAGAAGGAATAACTGTCTAGGAAATTTATTACTCACTGATTCTTTAAAACAGAAGAGTAGGCTATCATTCCATCTATCTTATTATATAACATTTCTAAAAATACTTCCCCGTCCTGGGGATGTTAAATTCAAAATATTACGCCTGGTGCCCAGTATTGTTCAGTATGCCATAAGCCACGTAGCTCTTGTCAAAATGTTTCCTTTTTGAAGCCGTACTAAAGACATGTTAGTTCGGAAAATAGGAATAATTATCTGAAACCTGAAGATCAAAACCAATATTAAGCTCCCTGAATACTGAGCTCCATGTTTACTTCTTGAATCTTTTATTCAGGCTCAATTTAAAATAATGAAAAACTACCTAGGTCTCTTTGGTTACCAATGGAAATTTGTGGCTGTTTATATAAACTGTGGCATCTCTCCAAACTAACAGGCTCAGAGTTTCTAAAACAGAGCTAAGCAGAAGCAACAGTTCATAAGTAAATACAGAAAAACCTCAGTTGCTTTATTACTTTAGTAACTACTAGTTACTAATAGTGTTATCATTATTTTTTAAAGCTTCCAGTGAGAAGGGAACAATACTTATGTTCTGAAGATGGTAACTCTTCCTAGTTTGAGAGAAAGATCTACTCAAGGAATAATAAATGACCATGCCACATTATAGAAGAATAAATTCACCCCCAAAATATCATGTCCTCATTTGATTCTTACTGACCTGATTAATCAAGTTTAGTAATTCTGCTTTACAGTTAATATTTAAAATGAAAACACATGAAGTTTGATTTTAAGCCATTTTGCTAACCTTTAACATCCCTATTAGTAAATTATAAAAGTCAATTACATTAGTATGGATTGTAAATTACAACACACTCAGCTTTACTGAAGACTTAAAACAAATGAAAAGGATGATGGGGAAACTGTATCTTATGTATAGGAATGCCAATGGCATAGGTTAACAAAGCATTTTATATGTAAGAAAGGACAGGATTATTTTTGAAGAAAAGTATGAAATACAGATTATTTAACTGTGTTTGCAATGCCTACCAAACTTCAAATATCCCTGGATCATATGCAAATTACAGTTAAGAAAAGAAAAAAATTAAGTATACAACCTACATGGTAAAAACAAAAACCAAACACCTAGTCAAAAATATCCATTAACTCCTAGTGTGTAACAATTATTAAACAATTATTATTGTTAAACAATTATTGTATCCTAAGAAAAATAAACTGATCTGGAAGTAAAATTTAGGGCATAAGTTTATTTTGGACTTCAACTGCCCCTGTAGAAAAATTCAAAGTGGCATAATAAGAAAAATAAAATATTAAATGAAAATATGTATATAATCACTCCCGTGTTCCTACCCTTTTCCTAGCATTGTTGTTCTGGTGCATCAATCCTGAGTACTCTAACTTTTGATTTATAGTGATATTCTTTCAGATATAATTTCATGGAAGAAGGAATTGGAAGGGCATCAATGCCATCATAAGTTGTACAGTTACAAATAACTGTTCTGCATATATGCTGCAGGGGAAAGGGGAAAGTCCGAATTAAAGGAGTGGATAAAAGTGGTTCAAAGAACATACAGGCACTCGGGTCCTTATAATGCTCTAGGAGCCCAGTTATGTCAGGAGAATGGAAGACACAAGGATCATGTGCATCAAAGCTAAAGTTGTGATTCCACTGTTCAATTCTAGCATGAAGAGAACGACTATAGCGTCTAAAACTAACGGAGAATAAATAGTCTTCCTGTGCTGAATCTCGCAGTAAAAAGGTACCCTCTGGTTTTCCTTCTAGTAGAGCTTCAGCTGCATATTTATCCATAACGCCCCAGTAACATGGATTATTATTGATCTGAAGGAGGTCTGGTACAAGACAGTGGACATAATCAATCTGGGTATGGTACTTAGGAGGTGTTTCCAGTTGCAGGGTTTCTTCATCAATTTCCCATTTGGGTTTGTTTCTTTTCCTGGAACCTGTGCAAAGTGTTATAATTTCATCATCCGAATCCATATCACTATCTTCTATACTGTTATTTGAAGCCAGGTTCATTATAGAGCCAGTCCCAGGACCACCTCTACCCGAAGAATCGTTATTGGTTATGACACAGGGCTGAACACTGGTATGTGAGAAGCAGTTGATCTCTTCCATGTTTCTTCGTTGTTTTAGTTGACCATCCCTCAATTCAGTCTGAGACAAGTCTGTGCTTACCCATTCATCTGATTTGGGACTTATAGGAGCAGTGTGTCGTTTAATAAAATGCCACCTAAAGGCTAAATCTGATCGAGGTGGGAAAGGACACTTATCTAACATGAGTTCACTGATATGAATTTTTCTTTTAGACGGAAGCCCCGAAGAGTGCCGACTACTACAATTCTTTATTGGAAAACACTGCCCCACAGCATCTTGCAGTTTCTGTTTAAGAGACCGGCCTAAAAATCGATGCCCACAGGAATGATCTAAATCCAACTCGATAGATGAACAGCTGTGCTTCCTTTCTTGGCTCCTTAAAGGAACTTCAGTTTTCTCTATAGCACTCACTGTTTCAGCATCTGAACAACTTTCACTCTTTTTTGACCAAGATAACTTCTTTCCACTCCATACATAACCATCCTTTCTGTCAGCACTTCGACTCCGACTAGTTTTGGGCCTTACATCTACATTTTTACTATTACTTTCACTATTTTCTGCCATTTTAACAAACTGTCCACAAATTCCAGTGTTATAAATACTGCTCTTTCAGTTTTTCCGGTAGAATGTTTCTTCTGGGCACTCTCTGGATATATCTAAGGAAGAAAAAGATCATTAATTGTTTGTCATTAACATTGTATAGATTATATATCAAGCCCCAATTATACATAAGATGAAAAGATGAAAAAGGATAATACATTAAAAACAAACTATTGGAAATGTTGGAAGGCAGTTCCAAGATATTTTGTTCCCACTTAAATAAACTACTTTACCTTATGCTAATAATTCCATAGTGCCATGGAGTCAAGAATCTGAGTTCCTTTCCCACAGCTAGTTTCGATGTGAATCAAAAAAGCTAAGCATCCTCTCAGCCAAAATATATGTCTGAAATGTGAACAATTTCCGGTTTTGAGGTACATCTTATGCCAATCTCTCCTCCCCTTATTTTTTAATTTCACAGCAGACCAGGAAATTCTTTGTTAAGAGATGAGAAACCTATGAGCTGGTGTTTGATGACCACTACCCTCCTTCTCTCTCCCTGTTTTCTTTCCTATTGATTGAAAATATGAACAGTTTTAAGTTATAAAAGCTGTTAAGAATTTATTAAATAAATAATCACCACTGAAGAGTAGGAATGTCATGCAAGAATTCCCAACGCAATTTTTCTCAACTCATTTAAATATTTGGTCAACTTCACTATCAGTCTAGGCAGTTTGTAGAAAATTTGGAATTGGATAAAAATTTATTATTTTATACACACATACACTTCCTTATATACTTTTTTTTTTTTTTTTTTTTTTTTTTTTTTCTTTTTTGCGGTACGCGGGCCTCTCACTGCTGTGGCCTCTCCCGCTGCTTTTTTTTTTTTTTTTTTTTTTTGCGGTACGCGGGCCTCTCACCGCTGTGGCCTCTCCCGCTGAGGAGCGCAGGCTCACTGGCCATGGCTCACGGGCCTAGACGCTCCGCGGCATGTGGGATCCTCCTGGACTGGGGCACGAACCCGGGTCCCCTGCATCGGCAGGCGGACTCTCAACCACTGCGCCACCAGGGAAGCCCTATTCTTGATAATTTCAAAAAACAAGCAGATAAAGTTCTATAGGGCAATGCCTTTCCTATGAAATTGGCTAGCTATACTAGAATTTATAGTGTAAATAAAGTTTTATTAAGACTAATAGTAATGATTGGTCGTAGGTAGAAACTACTTAACTATTCTTAGATGGAAAAAGATTTAAGCCCAGAATTGGGGGGAGGGATTCTATAATCTCAAATATTTTACAAGTGAAAGTTGAATTTTGAGACTGAGAAAATCAGTTGTACTCAACATTCTGATCATGATTAAGCTTCTGATGATATCAGAGGAACATTAACAATCCCAACAGTCAAGTAAATGTTTAGAGCTATGTGAATCTATTTTCATAGCAGTAGGGTTTGAAACAAGCATCTGCAGAGGCAAATATGATTGGGAAGTGCTTAAAAGTGTGAACTAATGACACAGGCTTGCCATATAAAGTACCCCATTACTAAACAATGAATAGCATCGGGTGATTATATTATTTTGACTTAGTGAGCTCACTGGTACGTAATCATTTAAAATCCACAGGGAAAAAATATTTGAAAATCTAAATTTGAAAGAAACATCATCACTTAGTATACCAAAATTATATTCAACAGCATGCTTTGGTTGTTCATTGACTAAATTCCACTGAACAAAAATAAACAAGCAGAAGCTACAAAGTAGGCTGAAGTATATGAAGAGTCAGTGATCAGAAGAGACACTTGTTACTAACAGCTTACACTTGTATTTTTCAAATAAAAAATTAAAAATGAGCCCCAAGCAGATATTTTTTTGTTAACACTACATACTTTCAACTTTTTTATTCAGCATAATAATGTGAAAAGTATATCATGTAAGGTTTAAAATACCTGGTGTTTTTATTTACTTTAAAAATATGAAAGTAGCAGATTATTAACTCTATGATCAACTTTACTCCACTGGGTGTGAGCATCTTCATCTTCCTTTATTTCTATATCAGAGCTAAGTCTGTACCTCTGCTCTCTTTTTTAAAAACATCTTTATTGGAGTGTAATTGCTTTACAGTGGTGTGTTAGTTTCTGCTGTATAACAAAGTGAATCAGCTATACATATACATATATCCCCATTTACCCTCCCTCTTGCATCTCCCTCCACCCTCCCTATCCCACCCCGTACCTCTGCTCTTGATGACATTCCCACCTTTACCAGGGCCTGCTTCCATTGCTAGCTCTTAACTTCTCTCTGCCTTCAAAAACAACCAAGTCTCCTATAAACTGTTTTAGTGATTCCAATGGTTCCTTTAGTTGTAATTGCTGCTTTCCATATTAAATTTCTTAATGAGTAGTATAACTTGATTTCTTCTCAAAAAGAAAATAGTTTTGTTTTTCTCTAATTATAAAAGAAATAATGATCCAGTTTAAAATAGCTATGTGAAAATCTTTTTGCTCCATCTTTCTCTCAGAAGTCAGCCCAACACAAGGGAAAATGAGAAATAAAAACAAACCTCATCTTCAATGAAACTAGCAGATATCTGTAACCTGAGTGACAAAATACAAGGACAGAAAATGAAGAGAGGAGCAATGACTGACTCAGCAGCGGAGAGGAAGGTGACACCAGGCACAAAGGCAACGTTGATGAGAAGCAAGCCAACAGAGCAGGCAAAGTCCAGGACACCCAGAGGTGCTACAGAAAGTATGGATGGAGAACAGCGCAGAAAATGGGGAGGTAGGTTGAAAATTTGCATACATGCAGTTAGATGTCTCTGGTTGTTACTCTCATACTTAGAGGAGATGGGAAATTTATCAATATTATTTGGAGAAGCTGAACCAGAGAGGCTCAGGACTTTGGATACTAGGCATGGTGAGGATAGATGGGAGGCTTGGGACTAAAATCAGAAAGAAAATTCCCTGCTTCCTTCTTCCATCCAGCTTCTAGAACTCCAGCAGCCAAACTTACAAGTCCTAATAGGAGACTGGAAGATACTATGCTGGAGAAACAGAATGGCCAAAGAGAAAAGACCTATAGATACTGATAACTGGAAATCCTCCAATAAAAAGCTGGAGGGCCACCCAAGCATGCTGTGAAGCTCATTCATCCATAAGCCCAGCCTACTTACATAGTGCTTTCAGGCAGCACTGCTGTGCTTCATTTACTCTAGAATATGACATGTCACCAGACTTTTGAGGAAAGCCTCTAAAATAAACAAGCGAATAAAACAAAGAACTTGGAGAAAAAAGTAAACATGAAAGCAGCAGGCAATAAAATAGATCTAAGTTAAGAGAATATATTATACCAATGAATAAAATGAGGTAGGGACAATCAGAGAATAAGAAAAATTTGGAAATTAAAACCATGATTGCAGGAAAAAAAAAATTCAATAGGAAAGTTGGAGGTAAGCTGAGGAAATAATAGGAAAGAGAAAAAATGGTTAACTAGACAAAGATAAGAAAATTAGAGGATCAATACAGACTTCACAGAAAATAACAAAATGGAGAGGGAAATTGTAAAAGAAAATGTATTAGAAAATCTCCCAGGACTGAAGGACATGAGTCTCCATACAGAAGGAGCACGAGTGTCCCGCACAAGGGAGAATACACACCAAGTTACATTATTCTAAAATGTTAGAACCCTAGAGATAAAGAGGTGATACCAAAGTCTTCCTGCCTTATAGACAACAATACTCTAAGTATTGTATGCTTATAAATCTGTTAAAGAGAGTAGACCTCGTGTTAAGTGTTCAGTCAATCGATTTATGTATGTAACCCAGCCAAAAAAAAAAAAAGGCTTCCTGAGGGAAAAATGTCACAAAGGACTGTAAATAAAATAGCATCTGTTTTCTCAACAGTAAGTAACAGTGGAAGCTAGAGGATAGTTTCCAACCTTGAAGATAACCAGCCTAACAATCAATCAAATAGGATAAAATAAAGAAATTTTCAGACATGCAAAGTAACAACAATTTTACCTCATATTGGAGGATGTGCTCTTCTAAAATAAGAGTGTAAACCTAAAACAAATGGCATAACATAGGAAACAAGGTATTTAACATATGAGAAAGGAAATGTGAATTCCTGGGATGCTTAAGAAGGGAAGTTTCCAGACAACAGGGTATTTGGCGCTGCTAGAGAGCAACTAGTTCATATAACCACATAAGGACGTAAGGCTCTTTGTGTAATAAGAGAATGGAAAGAGAGTAAGGAGACTAAAGAGAGGTAAATCCTCATCTATCAGAAGAGGAACTCAACCAATAATGTCTAATAATTGATGCATCAAGAGAGAAGTATAAGCATACGATTTAGAAATGTGAAGATAAATATCAGAAAAACAAATTATGAAAGTAGAAGCCTTTGAGATGGGTAGGAGAGGAATGCGGCATTTCTTAGCTTATCTAAGCTTTTCAGCTTAATTTAACTTGAACCTATGTACACATATCATTTTGATGACCATAAATAAAAATAACAGTACTTTATACTCACTGTGAAAAATTCAAACTCAAAGTTATGAAGAAACAAGTAAAAACTATCCATAATCCTACCACCCAGCAGTAACCATTATAACATTTTCAGTATCTCTATACGTGTACATGACAAGGATGCAGTTCCATAGCACAATGATGGCAGACATTAGAAATATGGTTTGAGCGCAGTTTATTTTGTACTAGCCATATGACCTTGAAACCTCAGTTTCTTCATCTGTAAAATGGAGATACTGATGCTATCTATTTCATTAGGCTGGTGGGAATTAAATGAAATAATGTATGTGAAGTATATACCTAGCTCAGATTCTAAATGTACCAAGTATAAAATAAAGTTTAACATATTTTTTCTTTTTTAAAAAAAGAAACAGATATTACATATGTTTTATTATAGCGCCCAAGCCAATTTTGTAGAAATAGTTCATAAAGGAAAAAAATCACAGAAATACCTCTGTCTCTAGCCCATGCTAACTATAAAGTTTATGAGCAAATATAATTTTCAGGATGATAACTAATGTTTCAAAATGAAAAAGGATCAATACACTAGATATAGCTGAAACTCAACAGACCATGAAGCTATAGAACAATTT